CTTAAATGAAAATGAAAAAAATGGTCAACTAACTGAAATAAAATAAGCTGAAGTACTAAAATTACCTCAATAAATAAATTAAATTAAATGAAATAAATTAAAGCAAAAATATGAAAAAAGCACAAAACAAAGTTACTAAAACATATTTTAAAATATTACTAAACACCATAATAGTACACATTATTAATAATACCAAAAGAACACTGCCTGACAGTCGTGGTCACTATAAAGAACTGTCATTATGTGCAAAAGAACTGCATGAAGATTCTTCAAACATTCATCCTTTGTGTTCCACTGAAAAAAATAACAGCATACAGATTGGGAACAACAGTAAATAATGACCGAATGTTATTTTTTCTGTGAACTACTCCTTTCATAATTACAGATGGGTTTGATATGATGGGCTTCAAGCAAATAATGACTTCATATGTTAGTCGTGAACTAAAGGTTCACAATGCTTTTGATACACCATTTATGACATTTTTCTTGAAACATGTGAGTCATTGGTGATAAGGTGCTGCAACATGTACGCTTTCATAAGACTTTAGTGATATTTCAAGGATTTTATCTGTTGTGGTCAGGCGTGGACTGTAGTTACAAGCTGTTTCATAACTCAGACCTAGATTTAGCCCAGAGGCAAGAGAAAGGATGAAAGAGAGAGAATAAGAGAGAGACACATGCACTGGGAATACAGAGGGCTTTGTTCCAAAACCTATGAGCCACCTTGCTCTCTACTAACTAAAGCAGCATACTAACTGAAATAGAACCTCAAAACTGACCAAGCTGGAACGCTCTACAACCTAGAAAGCTCATTTCAAGACAGGACAGGCGTACACCTGACTAAAAGGCTGTTGCAATAGGAAGTTATTGGCCAAATTTGAACACGTGTCCTAAACACACGTGCATACATGCACACACAGTGCAACAGGACATCTGTCCGCCTCCACCTGTCTTCAACTAGGTCAGCCTGAAGCCAGCCATTGCATCTCATAGGTGTTTAATGAACAGCCTAAAATAACTGACACTCGCACACAAGACCCCTGCCCACAATGCACGAGTTACTACTAGCTGAAAGCTCTCAATAAAACATCCAGCCCTGCAGAGCTGTAATGTTGGACTGCGTTCAAAAGTGCATGCCACCGTTTCAAGTTCAAGCATGGGGAGCTGCCATCATACAGATCGGCATGCAAATCTGGACACCGGAACATCAGTGTGATGCTTTAAGCACTGTTTGCAATGTTCTTTTCCGTGCAAAACCCAAAGTCTCTATGATATTCTGTTTTCTGTTGATTAGAATTTTGTTTTTGTTTTGTTTAAGCACTGCTATAGCACAAATAAAATCAAATTTAAGCTGACCCAGCTAACAAAAATATGTTCTCAGAACGTTTTATTAAGTTATGAAAACAGTATTTCGGAATGTTCTCTGAACGTTCAAAAAACATCCTTTTTAAAATATTTTTTTCTTGGTTATATGAACGTTAAGGGAACATGCAATCATTATGGGGATGTTGTTTTTGAATGTTCTCTGGACATTTTGAAACAAAAAAAAACCGTTAAATGAACGTCCAACTAAAATACTTCAGGAATAAAACATTCTATTAACGTTTTTGTGTTAACGTTTTGAGAATGTTAGGAAAGACCAGATAACTTTATACAAACGTCAAATTAACAAATGAACGTTAGTTCAGAACTTTGAGAGAACCTTGCTAAAACATTATGAGAACGTTCCTTGTTAGCTGGGGAAGTACTAAAATTAATAAAACTAAAAATTAAATTAAAACTAAATTTAAAAAAAAGAATAAAACAAGAACAGCAAAAAAAAAAAAAAAAAAAAAAAAAAACATATAAAAATAAAATATAATT